GTAACGCCCCCTGTTTTCCAAAGAAAACCAAGCTCGCCATATGTGTGCCTAGAAAATTCACACATACAACAACAAAATAAATAGTATAAAAAATAATGTTATTAAATAATATATACATAGCTATATTAACACTTACATCAGAATGGAGATGGCCGGAAACAAGAAGGAGAAGTGCTCACATGGTGAACATCCCGATGTTCACTGGAAAAAGGGAAATGAAGGAAAAATAGTCAAACGGTGATGGATTAATGAAGAAAAGTACACTATGGCATACAGAACGACGAGACGAACCTCGTGGTGGCGTTGGTTTTCACCGGAGACGCCCGAGGTAACCGGAAAAGCTCAACGGAAGTTCGTCGGAAACCTAGATAGACAGAACTTCGGCGATAGATGTACGGAGTTAGAAGTGGCGGCTCGCAAAAAGGATTTTAGATCTCGAATCAGCGCTCCGAGGAGAAGACCGGCATATATATATATAGTTGTAGGGTTTGAGGTCGGTGGAAAAACGAGATATTTTATTATTTTCGGATTTAATTAATTTCGTGGATAAAATGATTCTAGAAAAGTCCAGAATTGATATTTAAGCTACGAAAATTACTCCGAAAGCTCCAAATATTCGGGGAAAAGTCTCAGAGACATTATGGAACATGAGGAACCCAAATAAAGTATTTGGAACTCATGAAAAGATATGTTGGAGCATCTCAAAATTAGATTATGCTAGTAGAAAAGTGGGAACAGGTTCCAGAAAATGCCGGAAAAATTCCTGAGAAGTTTGTAGAGATTGATTGATGGACGAGGAACTCAAAGGAATGATTTGGAGCAGAGTAAGAGGATCTTGGGGTACTCCATACGGAAAAGATTAAGATCAAAAAAGCTAAGATTTAATTACAGAAAAAGACAAAGACAAGCGGAGAAAGATTAACGACTTACTAAACGCATTTTAAAGACTTTTCTCACTCTCAACAAACAAAGAAGCAACAAGCAAACATCACATCAACCAAAAGCCCATCAAATTCATTCAGAAAAGTTTGAAGATTCACATTTTTCTAATAACTTACTAATGCTAACATAAACTAAACTTGAGAAATTTTATCCAAATATTAAAATATATATTTTAATTAGTGTTTTCTATGCATAACCCAAAATCAGAGAATTTTGGGGTGTGACAAACTACCCTACTTAACAGGAATCTCGTCCAGAGATTCGGAGATGCTAGGGAGATAGATAGAGCTAGTCTTCAAGTCTTCATGCTTCCTTATTTGGCAATTTATGAGATGTAAGAACAAAGATCGGGGATAAACAAATGATGACAAGGTAGATAATGATAGATCTTGAGTTCATTGTGCCTCATCGCTTGAGATATCGGGACTTGATGTTATTGGCAGCCGCCGCTACCCCACTTAACAAAGGCTTTACTTGACTTCGAGAACTCCCATAAGATCGTCCTTTTGTTGTAGCCGTCTTCAACGCTGTCTCTAGAAGTCACACACTCAAACAACACACCAAGCAACACACCAAGCAAGACAAGCATGGATCACAACATTGACACTAGACGTACTTCTATGTAGCAATGGCAGGCATCCTAAAGGGGTAGATATAGAAGATGAAAGGCAATCGTGATTTTGAGCAAGGTGAGATCAGAAAATTTAGTAAAACAACAGAAACAATGCTATCTCTCTCCATTCTCTAACAATATGCATCTATATATGCAATATAGAGGCAGTTCCATAGCCTTTCATTCCCTGAGCAATATATGAATGACCAAGGCCGAGCCGGCGAAAATTGGGGCCTGTACCAAACTATAAAATGAGGCCTTATCTCTTGATAGATAGAATTATAGTAATTATTATACATTAAGGGGGAATTCCCTGTGTGCCATTATAAAAGATCGCAATGCCTTGTGTGCCCCTGAAAAAGTTCAGCGGTCTTCAGCGCCACTACTCCAACTTTTTCGTGTCCTCCATGCCACTTCCGTCAGTTTGGGCTCTAACACCGTCAAACTGCAGGTGCGAAAAGACGAAAATACCCTTAAGTCTAAATATGTTATTCAATTTTTTGAGCATCTTAACAACTTCAAATGAAAAAACTCAAAACTCGAAAGTTGTAGATCTCGTCGAGATCTATAATTTTCATATAAAAATTATTTTCATTGAATTCCGCAAAAAAAATGATTTGATATGATTAATATATCTTAGAAAAATCATATTATTTTTTTGCGGAATTAAATAAAAATAATTTTATATGAAAATTATAGATCTCGACGAGATCTATAACTTTCTTGTTTTGAGTTTTTTCATTTGAAGTCGTTAAGATGCTCAAAAAAAGTAATAACAAATTTAGACTTAAGGGTATTTTCGTCTTTTTGCACCTGCAGTTTGACGGCGTTAGAGCCCAAACTGACGGAAGTGGCATGGAGGACACAAAAAAGTTGAAGTAGTGACGCTGAAGACCGCTCAACTTTTTCAGGGGCACACAGGGCATTGCGATCTTTTATAATGACACACAGGGAATTGTCTCATTCTACATACATATCATGCAATGTATCACGATAAATAATCATATATATGAAGGATAATTATAGTTTATAATATAATGATTGTTCAAAAGAAACATTAGTTCATATAATGCTATGAAGGACAAAATAATTATCGAGTACTAACGAGTGCAATTTTAGCACAGTAAAAAGTTAAAATATCTCAAATTTAACTAGTTATATATAAAATACATCAATATTTATGATATGAAATAAATATTATTAGATTTTTCATGAGGTATACTTTCTAATATGTTTATTTGAGCATTAATATTTTTTACTTATATATTTGGTTAAATATATTAGACACTTTGTACTCCGTAGTACGTAGTATGTAGTATCGGCTAGTTTCCGGTGCTAATACATGATGGTAGTTTACGCCATGGGCTTGAATTGATCCCCTAGCGTAGCTGGTAGTCACTAGTACTAGTTTGCATGCGCATGTTGACAAACTACCGCAGTGATGGCTGGTATTACATTAGGATTTGGGAGCCCCTAAAAATCATGGGCTCTGTTCCCACGCACCGCTCGCACGCCCCTTGGCTCGGGCCTGTGAATGACCTGTTTGGTTATCATCATTCACTTAATGACTAACTACTTTCAGCAAGGCTACTTTCGGCACAACCCTTGCGCATGCTTGTGAGGCAGTCAGCCATACTTAGGTAATATGCATCAAGGCAAGGAAAGGCCCACTAACTATTGGAGCATGAGGCCCAATAAAGGTTGGGCCCTTCTTCAGCGTACACATGTAGTGGTGACTTGACGGCTGACGGGCCATGGGCCAAAACGGGGAATCATGTTTCAACGCCGCCACGCTGGTGCATTTAAACGTGACAATTTTTAAACAGGACGGCCCAAGGGTCTGTTTGAACTGCAATCTAATAACCCAGTTTTCTGCAACACTTTGTGGAGAACGGAAGGAGAGACAATCATTTCTGCACAGTTATCTAATTACCTTCAAAAAATATAATGCTTTTATAAATTCAATCAGCAAGCGATGTGACATTTGTAGCAGCTATTTTCATGCACAAACAATTAGTAGAACAAAATTTGCAACTAAAGAGTGTTGCGTCGAAGCTTTAGCCAAAGTCCTTGCCGTCTCCATCTCCTTAAATGTACTTGTGTCATAACTATTTGAACCTAAATCATACAAACATCAATATGAAAGCAGAGTAGGTTGTCACTGATTAGGTCTTTGCAGTGGGCCCACAGAAGGGAACAAGACAAAGTAAGGCTGTGCTCGAGGATAGCTATAAGCAGATCCCATGCACATTGGCACGGAGAAAAATACAGGGCGTCTTGGCGACGACGTGCGTACTAGACTATGTTAAAATATACCCCTTACACAATTAGGACACTGAAGTGGGTCCTACAAAAAGCACAAATTTGAACCTTACTAGTCACATAGTGATGACGCCTGGATGCATGCGGGGCAATGTTTAACGTGAATTATAAGTGAACACTTAAGGCTTATTTTAAAGACGAAAAATTTTAAACTTATTAATTGTATATAACAAATATAATATTTATAATGTGTAATAAATATCATAAGATTGATTGTGTAATATAATTTTAAAATAAATTTATTTATAGAGATACAAATGTTACTATTTTTATATATCTAGTAAAACATTAAAAAACTTTGACTCCATAAGCAAAACGTGCTGTTAGTTTAGTACGGTCAGAATACCATATTCAAAGGTGACACTTCAGGAGCGAATATTGGAGCAAAAAGAAAAAAAAAGGTACCTTTTACAGTGGTTTTCGTTCTTGTCCATTAGAATCGTCAATTGATCTTCAGAGTCAATTTTTTCGTACTCCTGGTGTGGCTCTTCTACAAATGTCTTTGAAAGCCATCTTTTGACTTAGGTTTTGCAACCTGGAATCTAGTGCCGCATATGCTAAACTGATATATTCTGGTTTTTGGGTGACCAGTTCTTCGGTTGTTTGTCGGAGTTTCCGGTAGATCTGACTATACGTACGTGGCCATTATTTCTATGTTCATACGATACAGTCCAAAACAAAACGGAGCAGATGTTACAAAAGTCTACTCCTTGATGAATATGGTATTAATCTTATATAGTCGATGCTTGAATGCAAGTTTCTGCAAGATTAAGAAAAGCTCACCCACGTAAATACTATAGCGACATATATTTCGGATTTGCGGCAGTAGTATCACCTAACACCTCTCATCGATACCGGCAGAGCAGCAATGTAGTGTACTGACATGATGTCGTGATGCACTGGGAATCTTAGAGGAATCGGTCAGAAGACTAAGTCACATGATGCCCGTGCCCCTGAAGTCGTACAGGAATACTCGAGAGAGTAGTAGTGAGTACACACTTGCTTCAGTTTGCCTCAGCTCTTCTAACATTAATTCACGCTCAAGCCTCTCAGCAACTAGTTACCTATACATATACGCTCTCCAGCCAAGCAACTAGTGAGCTACCAGCATGCACTTTTTGCCATGGGTCTGTTATTAACGCTAATAACTACTCTGGCCATGTTCCAGCCATGCCTGCTCTTCCTGCAGGCCAACGCCTCCAACTCCACTGGAAGTGTGCATCTATGGTCCCAGCAAGAAGCACTCCTCCCGTGGAAGTCCACCCTACGGAGCTCACTGTCGCTGCTGGACTCATGGCGGCCAAGGACCAGCCCGTGCAGCAGAAACTGGACAGGCGTTGTTTGCGACGCCGTGCACCACGGTCACCGTGGCATGCCCTGGGCAGTGGTCCGCATCGACCTGCCGAAAGCTGGCATCGACGGCAGCCTCGGTGAGCTCAACTTCTCCGCACTCCCATTCCTCCAGTACATCGACCTCAGCTACAACAGCCTTCTTGGTGAGATCCCACGGTCCATCGCCTCCTTAGCTGAACTCTCCCACCTTGATCTCACCGGCAACCGGCTCCATGGACAGATACCATGGGAGGTGGGCAACATGGAAAGCCTTAGCTTGTTGGAGCTTTCTCTGAACAACCTCACAGGAACCATCCCTGCATCCCTTGGCAACCTAACTAGGCTGGTTCAACTAACCATCCTCCAAACCTTGCTCACAGGGTCCATTCCTGAGGAGCTTGGCAAGCTCACCGGCCTAAAGTATTTACAGCTAAGTAGCGCCTTCTTGAGTGGACGAATACCAGAAAGTCTTGGCAACTTGACCAAACTAAGCCTCCTGCGCCTTTATTATAACCAGCTATCAGGGCCAATTCCCTCCACACAAGGTAATCTTATTCACTTGCAGAGTCTCCAGCTCAGTACAAATCAGCTGTAACACCCTAAAATTTGCAGTTTTAAAAATATGATTAAAATGATTTATTTATGAATTTTTGTGCAGATGAAATATAGGAAAAAGAATATTTTTCAATATATTAAAATTCATCATGAGTAGCAACATGGATGTGCATACATGCCGGTGTATTTGATTTATTGCAATGAGTGGTTGAATCCAAAATTCAAAATGCTTTTGAAATTAGATTTGAAATAAAAGAAAATGAAAATTTGAAAATAAAAGGATTTAAAAAGTTGTAAAATTAATTTTTGGAAACTTACCAAAATTTTCCCATTTTATTTGAGTTGAAAAGTATATTTAAAACTCTATTTTAATTTGCATTTGGTTCATAATTGAATTTGGTTTTGATAACAAAATAGAAAAGGATTTGGAAAATAGAAAATCCTCTCTCCTCTCAAATTGGCCCGACGGCCCACTCACTCTCTTCCTCATTTCTCTCCCCGCGGCCCAGCAAGAGCCAAAGCCCACGTGTGCCTCCTCTCTTCCTCCGTCTAGATGACGCCTCGGCCCCACTCCCTTTCTCGCTGACGTCCTGGGCCCACTGGTCATCTCCTTACCCTTTCTTCTACCTCGTGCCCGAGCGGGACTCCATCCCGTGCTGGAAGTCCACGCCGCCCCGTATCCACCACGACCTTGGCGTGCTGCCCACATCTCGCCTCTGTATATAGGAGCCGAGCCCGTGTCGCACCCCATACCCTAACCCTAGCAAGCTGCCGCCTCACCTTGAGCCATAGCAGCGCAGGTCCACATGCCGCATGCCGCCCCTCCACCTCCGAGATTGTCTTGCCAAGCCTCTACGCGAGGTAAGAAAGCCTCCAGTACCCGCCTTTTCTTCTCTCTCGCTCTCATTTCTTCTAGTGTCGCCGCCATAGGTATGCTGGCGAGCCTGAGCCGCTGTTCAGAGTACCACTTCATCACCAAGCCGCCGCGGTCCCCTCTGACCCCTCCATTGCATTCGCCTTCTTCTCCTCTCGCGTCTCGAGTTTTTCCCGAGGCAAACGGTGACCGGAACGCTTAGAACGAGGAGCATCGGCGAGCTCCTCTGCTCTCCGGCCATGGCGCCGCCGCTGTTCAGCCCACCGCTAGCCGGTCACCTCTTTTTTCCCCTCCCAATCTAATCTAGCCGTCCAATCCAGATCCGACGACCCAGAATCAAAGATACCAATTCGGCTAACGTTTTTGCATAAGAGCCCCTCAGATTTTTAATATAGAACCCGCCGTCCCTCCACTTTTGCTAAAGAGACCTTGCCTTTTCTTTAAATAGTGCCCACAGTCCTCGGCCAGATTAAAAAATCAGATTTTATTTATTTTAATTCAAAAATCTAGTTCCATCTATTTACAAAATTGCCACTATCTTCATTAGGCCATAACTTTTTCGTTTTAGCTCCGTTTTGACCCGTTCAACTTGCGTTAGGTTCATAATTGCGTACTCTACATGTTCATCCACTTTTGAAATTCGAGGTTAGATTTAATCTATTATTTTGCAAAAGAAAATCTTGTTTAATTTATAACTTTTTCGTTATAGCTCCAATTAGCGTGCTCTCCACGTTTGTGTGTTCATAGTAATGTGTAGAACATCTTTAAAACCTTTTTACTTGTTATTTTATATATTTGGTGTACTATTCTAATTTAGTTCTATTGTTTGCATCATGTATGATTGTATGGATATTTGTGTGGTGCTTTATGATCATGTCCAGTCGGTGAGCTTTAAGTGTTGATCAAGAAGGAGTTCCATTGAAGGTTTGGACTAGAAGAAGGATTTGAGTCTAAGGCAAGTATAGCATGGGATCTTCCTTGTTGTCCTATACACCTTTAATCATTTAATTCATGCTGCATGTGTCTACCTTGATTACCACTAAGGATTTTCTAGTAGTTTGTACCTTGTTCCTTGATACCTTTGGGTTATTGCATTGAGTAGTATAATGTTAGTGCTCAAACCAAAGCCATGATCTTGTAACTTGACTAATGGTATATGCAATAAACACTAAAAATGTGCTTTTTAGCAATATGGAACAAGGGGGCTAGAGCAATGGGCTATCTTATGGTGCTCTAGATTCCTCTCCCTAAGGACTTCTCTGTAAGTGATCATTCGGGACTTATAGTACAACTGTGAGGGCTACATGGCTCTGGCTTTAGCTCAGTATGACGATCTTTTCTAGCCTGTTAGTGGTTACCTTTATTGACATAAGAATGGCTTGATGAATCGGGTATAGGACAACCTCTACTCTTATATGTATAGCCGTGATAGAGTTGTGCCATTCGACAAGGGGTTCTTATATCTGTTTGCCGAGTGAATCTAATGGCCCTAACTTGTTAGACGAACCTTTAAAAGGCTTCATAGTGAACCCTGCTGACCTTTCTTGGTAGTGGGTCAAGAGGTTGGCCGCCTCAGACGAAGGGGAAAATCATGACTCATAGTGAAAGTATACAACCTCTGCAGAGTGTAAAACTAGTATATTAGACGTTCTCACGGTCACGAGCGGCCTTGGAACATTTACGGAATAGATGATGAACACTGATGATACTGAAGATAAAGATGCTCACTAATGATTATTGTTTATGCTTTTCATTATTTATGTTTACCTGATCATGTGTTTATATGGGCTTGTGAATAAACTTGTTGCCACCCAATTGCTAAAAGATGACTCATTAAAAGCTAAGCAAAGTTAAACCAGTGTCAGCTTTTTTGAGCCTCATGAAACCCATGTTATATTTATTGAGTTCGACATGTACTTATGCTTGCTTTATTTTTCAATTATTTGGATAAAAATTCTAGATGGGTACCAGATTGCTAGAGTTTGGAAGAATTAGGCTTATTTGTAGCTATATGTTAGATTTGACTTCCTAGGCTCACATATGGTGTGTATCTGGTTTTGTTCTTAAAACCAGATGCTACAAAGTAGTATCAGAGCAATGCTAACTATAGGATGCAAGCCTAGTAGAAACTGTTCGTTCAAAGATTTAGAAGTTGCTACAAAAACCCTTGCTATATGAACCTTGATATTTTTTCTCTACTATATCTCTACCCTTGCTATTCATCTCTACCTTGGTTCTTATTTAAATGTCTTTGTTCTCATCTTCACTCCTTGATTTGATATGCTTTTAGAACCTTCTCTTACCATCTTCTTGCGTCATCGGAAGAGGAGCTTTAGGATCTTTGCCCTTAATATGGAGAAAACTATAGTATCACCAGTTGAGTCGATGTTTGAAGTGTGAACCTTTATTGCTTGGTTGAAATTGTCATTATGTTTATGCTTATTTTGAATCTTTATAATGATTGCAATGATCTTGTTGAGTGTTCCTACAATTTCATTTAGTTTATAGGCCTAAGGTATAAGGATTAATAAAATAAATAGTCGGGCTTTGGTTATTTTCTATTTCCTCTATCCTGTCTTTTTGGAGCAACATCGGCTTATCTATATATTCTTGGATGACCAAAAATCATAAGAAAATTCTGGACAACAGTAGACTTCAATATCGTTCTCCGACCACAAGAATCACTCTGATAGCTATTTTGGTTATGGAGTTATGAAAACCACAAGATGATGCAACCGCGCGGTCTAAAATCTGGAGTAGTTTCTGTTGTGCACTGTTTTTGACTACCTAAACTGCAGAATTTGGAAAAGTATTCTATAAGGAAGTTGTGGAAGATTTGATAATCTTTTCAACGGTAAAAGCTACAAATTCATTGGATTAACAGAGCCTGAGTTATAGCTATTTTACTGCACTGTTATGTTTCTATACGCGAGGAGAAATCAAGTTGTTTCTGCTTAATATGCACATGAGTTCTCCTAGATATTAGAAGGTCTTAATGATAGTTAACTTACTCAGAAGAATATGGAATCTACCCCATTTTGTCCCCTAGTTAATCTTTTCTTAAGGGGGTAGCCAAGCTAAAGAAGTTGCAAGACGAAGGCTTCATACGTTCTGGTGCTTCACTTGAAAGTATAGGTTATGTCTTTGAATGAGAAGTCACTATCAAGCATGGGTATCTTTGCTAAAGATGTGTTACTTGTTGGATCAAGGAGCTCGGGTATTTTCCTATATTGGTTATCACTTCAAGTTATTGTCAATTGGGATTCAATCTTCAACATACCTAGGATAAGTCGGCATGGATGACATAAGAAGGAGATATTGGACATCTATAGTTGATTTAATGGAGACTCAAAACATCTCAATGTTTCACCAAGTGAGCAAGTTAGTTTTTGTTGAAGGAAGTTCTCTTCTTGGGATATGTTATTTTTAATGGTAAAAATAGGAAGAAGAACTCAAGAAAGTTAATGATGAGTTTGGTTGTAACCCACCCAAGTATGTAAGAGTGACGCGGAGTTCCTTGGAATAGTAAGATTCTATCAGAGATTCATTGGAGGTTTTTTGAAGATCAATAGAACATGGTTATAATGGTATTGGGAAATATTACTAAGTTTGTTTGGGGCAAAAAACCTCAGGTAAGCTTGGAAGAAGAAGTTGAAGTAAAACCTATGTATTAGCTTTGCCAGATCCAGACAAGAGCTTTATATCTACAATGATAAACCTTGTCAAAGGCCTGGTATATGTTCTTATGCAAGAAGAAAAAGTAGTACCTTTTTTATTAAGTCTACTAAGGAACCATGCGTTGGATTACCCAACATATTATGTGGAGTTATCCATTATAGAGCATGGAAGTGCTATCTACTTGGGCATAACAAGTAACATTTAGGTGGATCACAAGAATCTGAAGGACATCTTCACTAAGATGGTCTTAAGCTTGTGATATCCTCGTTGGAATGAAATTGATTATGACTTGGAAAAGTACTATTACTTCAAGGAGCAAAGTCATGGCCGATGCCATTAGCAATGGAGAATTGTGCTAAGAAGGTTCGGGTGACACCAAGGACTAAGAATTGTATTCCAAGTTCGAGCAACTTGATCGGAATCATTAATGTTTAGAATATTGGTAGTAGAATTTCCTTCTGACCAAGAGATTCGTCAGGCTTCGTTGGAAGGTGGATATTTTAAGAAAGAGAATTGGTATTAAAGGAAAGGTGGCCTAGTGATTGGAGTTACCTGAGTATTGTTCGAGTACCTTTTAGAATCTTGGAATCAGTTTAACAAGTTACTTAGAGTAAGATTTACAGGTATGCAAAGTAAAGTGGGATCCTAATCAAGAAGGTGGAACTACTCAAGAAAATAAAGAAGAATCCAAAGACGGAGTGTCCCTATCTCCTAGTCAACGTCTACCAAATCTCGAGGACGAGATTCATCTTAAGGGGGGTAGAATTGTAACACCCTAAATTTTGCACTTTCAAAAATAGGATTAAAATAATTTATTTATGAATTTTTGAGCACATGAAATATAGGAAAAAGAATATTTTTAATTATATTAAAATTCATCATAAGGAATAGCAACATGGATGTGCATATATGCCGGTGCATTTGATTTATTGCAATGAGTGCTTGAATCCAAAATTCAAAATGCTTTTGAAATTGGCTTTGAAATAAAAGAAAAGAAAATTTGAAAATAAAAGGATTTAAAAAGTTGTAAAATTAATTTTTGGAAACTTACCAAAATTTGCCCATTTTATTTGAGTTGAAAAGTATATTTGAAACTCTATTTGAATTTGCATTTGATTCATAATTGAATTTGGTTTTGAAAACAAAATAGAAAAGGATTTGGAAAATGGAAAATCCTCTCTCCTCTCAGTTTGGCCCGACGGCCCACTCACTCTCTTCCTCATTTTTCCCCTGGCCCGCTTCTCATTTTTTCCCTTGTCCCGTCCCTTCTGGCCTGGAAGCACAGCACCCAAGCAGGCCACCGGAGCCCAGCTCCTTTCCCCTCATCTGCGGCCCGCTCCCGCTTTCTCGTCTCCTCTCTCCCCGTGGCCCAGCAAGAGCCAAAGCCCACGCGCGCCTCCTCTCTTCCTCTGTCTGGCTGATGCCTCAGCCCCACTCCCTTTCTCGCTGACGTCCTGGGCCCACTGGTCAGCTCCTTCCCCTTTCTTCTTCCTCGTGCCCGAGCGGGACTCCATCCCGTGCTAGAAGTCCACCGCTGCCCCGTATCCACCACGACCACGGTGTGCTGCCCACATCTCGCCTCTGTATATAGGAGCCGAGCCCGTGTCGCACCCCATCCCCTAACCCTAGCAAGCCACCGCCTCACCTTGAGCCGCAGCAGCCATAGCTCCACATGCCGTAGGCCGCAGGAGATCCGTCGTGGGACTCGCTGCTCCGCCGCCCCTCCGCCTCCAAGATTGTCTTGCCAAGCTTCTACACGAGGTAAGAAAGCCTCCGGTACCCGCCTTTTCTTCTCTCTCGCTCTCTTATAGTGTCACCACCGTAGGTACGCCGGTGAGCCTGAGCCACTGTTCTGAGTGCCGCTTCATCACCAAGCCACCGCGGTCCCCTCTGACCCCTCCATTGCGTTCGCCTTCTTCTCCTCTTGCGTCTCAAGTTTTTCCCGAGCCAAACGGTGGCTGGAATGCTTAGAAGGAGGAGCGTCGGCGAGCTCCTCTGCTCTCCAACCATGGCGCCGCTGCTGCTCAGCCCGCCGCCAGCCGATCACCACTTTTTCCCCCTCCCGATCTAATTTAGCCGTCCAATCCCGATCCGACGGCACATAATCAAAGATACCGATTCGGCTAGCATTTTTGCAAAAGAGCCCCTCGGATTTTTAATATAGACCCGCCGTCTCTCCACTTTTGCTAAAGAGACCCTGCCTTTTCTTTAAATAGTGCCCGCAGTCCTCGGCCAGATTTAAAAATCAGATTTTATTTATTTTAATTCACAAATTAAGTTCCATCTATTTACAAAATTGCCACTATCTTCATTAGGCCATAACTTCTTCGTTTTAGCTCCGTTTTGACCCGTTCAACTTGCGTTAGGTTTGTAATTGCGTACTCTAAATGTTCATCCTATTGTTATACATGTTTTCCACTTTTGAAATTCAAGGTTAGATTTAATCTATTATTTTGCTAAAGGAAATCTTATTTAATTCATAAATGTTTCGTTATAGCTCCGATTAGCGTGCTCTTCACGTCTGTGTGTTCATAGTAACGTGTAGAACATCTTTAAAACCTTTTTACTTGTTGTTTCATATATTTGGTGTACTATTCTAATTTAGTTCTATTGTTTGCTTCATGTATGGTTGCATGGATGTTTGTGTGGTGCTTTATGGTCATGTCCAGTCGGTGAGCTTTAAGTGTTGATCAAGGAGTTCCATTGAAGGTTTGGATTAGAAGAAGGATCTGAGTCTAAGGCAAGTATAGCATGACAGTTTTCTTGTTGTCCTAAGCACCTTTAATCATTTAATTCATGCTGCATATGTCTATCTTGATTACCACTAAGGATTTCCTAGTACTTTGTACCTTGTTCCTTGATACTTTTGGGTTATTGCATTGGGTAGTATAATGCTAGTGCTCAAACCAAAGCCATGATCTTGTAACTTGACTAATGGTATATGCAATAAACACTAAAAAGAAGCTTTTTAGCAACATGGAACAAGGGGGCTAGAGTATTGGGCTATCTTATGGTGCTCTAGATTCCTCTCCCTAAGAACTTATCTATAAGTGATCATCTAGGACTTACAGTACAACTGTGAGGGCTACATGGCTCTGGTTTTAGCTCAGTATGAGGACCTTTTCTAGCTTGTTAGTGGTTACCTTTATTGGCGTAGGAATGGCTTGACGAATCTAGTATAGGACAACCTCTACTCTTATGTGTATAGCCACGATAGAATTGTGCCATTTAACAGGGGGTTCCTATATCTGGCGAGTGAATCTAATGGCCCTAACTTGTTAGATGAACGTTTAAAAGGCTTCATAGTGAACCCTGCTGACTTTCCTTGGTAGTGGGTCAAGAGGTTGGCCACCTTGGGAGAAAGGGTAAATCATGACTCACAGTGAAAGTGTACAACCTCTGCAGAGTGTAAAACTAGTATATCAGCCGTGCTCACAGTCGTAATCGCAGTTAAACCAGTGTCAGCTTTTTGAGCCTCATGAACCCCATGATATATTTGTTGAGTACGACTTGTACTTACGCTTGCTTTATTTTTTAATTATTTGGATAAAAATACCGGATGGGTACCAGATTGCTAGAGTTTGGAAGAATTAGGTTTGTGATCATCCAGTCAGTTGTCCCTGTGGAACTGGAGTCTTCACCCAAAGATCGGAGTTATCTTTCCGCTGTTTGCTGTCTAAGGTAATATCCTTTGTACTAAGTATGTTATATATTGAGCATTGTATATTGATACTACACTTATTTGTAGCTATATATGAGATTTGACTTCCTGGGACTACATATTATGTGTATCTGGTTTTGTTTTTAAAACCAGGTGCTACGTCAGCTTGTAGGCCTTATTCCGCCGAGCTTGGGGAACCTTAGTAGCCTCTACGAGATTTGAATGTACGAAAACAAGCTGGTGGGCTCAATCCCAGCTGAGTTTGGTAGTATGGTGGGCGTGCAAACATTGCATTTATCCGAGAATTTAATTTCAGGTTCAATTCCTGAAACTCAGACCAACCTCACGGATTTGAATATGTTTAAAATCTTTACAAACAAGCTGTCCGGTTCTCTGCCTCTAGGATTTTCAAATCTTACAAAGCTGGCAGTGCTCGATCTTGCCAACAACTCTCTATCGGGAGAATTGCCCTCTGGGTTTTGCAGTCATGGGAACCACATACAATTCACTGTTTCTGTAAATATGTTCACTGGCCCTATTCCTAGAGACATCGAGACATGCAGGAGCCTGCACATACTTGACATGGCATCTAACCAAATATCAGGAGACATATCAAGTTTGGGGCCATACCCGCACCTTTGGTTTGCAAACCTAGAGAGGAACAAACTTCATGGACATTTGTCTAAAACCTGGGCTTCAAGTATCAATTTGACCATCTTAGATGTGGCGAGCAACATGATAACCGGAAGTTTGCTGCCTGAGTTATCAAGACTAGTTAAACTGGAGGAACTTCTACTCCACAATAACAACATGACTGGCAACATACCGCCTTAATTAGGCAACCTAGCCCACCTGTACAGGCTGAACTTGTCACAAAACCAATTTTCAGGTCATATACCATCAGAATTTGATCAGATGAGAAGTTTGCAGTACCTTGATTTATATAGGAATAGGCTTACTGGGTGGATACCACAAGAGCTTGGCAGTTGCATGGAGCTTCTATTCTTGCGGATCAACGACAATGATTTGACTGGATATTTGCCAACAACCCTTGGTAGTCTATGGAAGCTGCAGATTGCATTGGATGTCAGCAACAACAAACTCACAGGCAGGATACCCACACAGCTTGGGAACTTGGTGATGTTGGAGCTCTTAAACCTTTCCCATAACAAATTCAATGGGACCATACCTTCATCTTTCTCCAGCATGGTTAGCTTGTCAATCCTTGATGTGTCATACAACAACTTGGAAGGTCCTCTTCCAACAGGCGACAATTTTCTAATGCCTCAATAGGATGGTTCGTCCACAACAATGGCCTTTGTGGAAATCTCTCAGGCCTTCCAACATGCTTTTCATCTCCAACAATGGGTCATGACAATCGAAGGACTCACATCTTAGTTCCAGCCATTTCCATTCCTTTGTGCATACTCGTTATTTTCACAATAGTTGGAGTTATTATGACTATCTGTAGAAGCAATAAACCACAAAAGGAAACAACCACTGATACAAGAGATGTGTTTTCAGTGTGGAATTTTGATGGGAAACTAGCATTTGATGATATCATTAGAGCAACTGAAAATTTCAGTGAGAGGTACGTTGTTGGGTCAAGAGGGTATGGCACTATCTACAAAATTCCGCTACAAGGGGGGAGATTGGTTGCAGTTAAAAAGCTTCATGAAACTGGAGAAGATGTTAGTGACCAAGAGAGATTCATGAGTGAAATCGATGTGTTGTCCAGGATCAGGCATCGAAGGATTGTCAAGTTATATTGGTTTTGCTCCCATCGAAGGTACAAATTTTTAGTGTATGATTATATTGATAGAGGGAGCCTTCATGCATCCATGGAAAATGTGGAGATTGCAAAAGAGCTGAACTGGGAGAGACGAGTTGCCATTGCAAGAGACGTGGCTCAAGCTCTGTATTACTTACACCATGAATGCACCCCGCCAATAATTCACCGAGACATAACAAGTAACAATATCTTGCTTGACAGAGATTTTAAGGCTTATGTTTAAGACTTTGGCATAGCAAAGATTATAAGGTCTGATTCATCAAATTGGAGCGAACTAGCAGGAACATATGGTTATATAGCCCCAGGTATGTGGTTAATTTCTCTTTGCAGATTACTTTATTACCATATTCCTCATTTCACTCTAGTTCTGTTATCTATGCTGTAGAGCTTTCACACACACCAGTGGTGACAACAAAATGCGATGTCTATAGCTTTGGTGTGCTTCTGCTGGAGATAGTGATGGGGAGATACCCTAGTGAGCTGCAGTCCCATACTTCCCTACAAGGACAGCATCACAAGCTTGCAATGGAGACTTTCGACAAGCATCCATCATCAACAACATTGGTGGAGAGGGAAGAAGTTTCTTTGCTTGTCCAAGTAGCACTTGCATGCCTGCAACCTTCCCCTAAGTCTAGACCAGAAATGCAGGAGGTTTATCAGAAACTGACTCACGACCACCCTTATTGTTCTTTTGCCACATCTTGCGACCTTACAATAGAAAAACTAAAGGATGGAGAAGTGTAATTACACATATGAGAAACAAGAAGGATTTTTGCTTTATTTTCACAATGACATAGAGATGGATGGAAACAAAGAAATGACAATGTGTTGACACCGTTTTTTGCACGTGTCAAAATGATCAGAGTGGGCTAATCGGCAGGAGGAGAGTTACTGTATACGCTGACAGCCGTGAAAATCAGCTTGTAAAGATGGTTGCCGATGAATGGTGGTGATCGATGGAAAGTTTGATTTAGACTCGGGCGTTGCCGATAAGGTTGGAGATATTAGTGTCGATGCCGATGAAGGAAGGCTTGAAAACTACTGCCGATGAAACAGGAAGTATGCCGATGGAAAGGAGGTCGGTGAGAATTCCATCGTAATCGAGGCGGACAGGGAAATAGATAGGAGTTGATTTCCTTTTCTATATTTGTTAGGGTATGATTCATGTAAGAGTCACGTGTTTCCTTAGATATGGACTTGGTGTCCTAGTCGTATTTGGTTTTGTCTCTTTAGATCAGGGTATAAATATAGATTGAGGGGCAATGTAATAAGAAGAATCAATATCAAAACCAACTTTTACTCCTATTTGCATCTACTTACTTTTCGGCGACTTCGTCAATTTGCATATTTTTCCTTTTTACGAGTTCTCATTGATTCGGCGAGTTGTATCGTTTCAGTGCAACCTTCGGCGATTCTCGAGTTCCGCGTGAGTACCTCTTGGCCGTGACTTCCGGGCGTATCGCTGTTGTCAGGACCAAAGTGCTCGTATCTTCATCCTTGTCGATTAACAGGTCAAATCGACTGGCACACTTTGGATATCGATTCGGGTATTAGCCCTTTGTGTTTGCAGATCCACTTTTGCATCAACACATCTTTTGGCACGCCTAGTGGGACACATCAATCCGATCAATATGATCAATCCCGAGATCGATTCAGGGAACATTATCGCGGTATCAGAAGAAGATCTTAAGGAAGAGCAGAGGCAGGCTATGGAAAAGGCTATAGAAGAATATAGGCAGCTTTATCTGAGATCGTTTAGCCTGAACAAGAGTGGGCAAGTCATCCAGAAGCAAGATTTGCCGTTGCCTCGGCAGAGTTACCTTTGACTCAATCTGGTAAACTTCAAGAGATGGTTAATTCTGCGATAAATCATGCTTTGATTAATCATTCTAATGTGCTGTCCAATAACATTCATAATCTTTGTGGTTGAACTCTCAAAGAAGGACAAGCGTCACCGCATTACGTTGGGCCGCCTATCACCAACCGTGAGCCGCAGCATCCGTCAATACTCCATCGGTGTTGTGGGTACGTGAAGTTACTTCTCCTCCGATCTGCAGCGAGCTTACCTAATATTCAATCTACACCGATACGATCGGATCCGGTACTACCGGGAGGACGAGTTTAGCTTAATCTGAGATTCTATCGGCATCAGCTATGTCGGGCCCCGTGTCTCGAATAGCGATTCCCGCTAATTGGTGGGGATATGGTATGCCTCCGGAGTCATCTGCTTTCAATCCTGGGTTACCTCAAGTGTTTGATGCAGTAGGAAAAGCTCCTATACCATCGGCTGTTTCGCAGATGGCTCAAGTGCCTCAATATGCCACAACAACTACTGTGCAACCAACTCCAGGAGGTTTCCAGATGCCTTTGGTTCAAACACCCAATTCAAGTCCATCGGCAAGCTTATACGTCGATGCAAAGAAAGCCCCTGCTATGAGTCAAACTGGGGTTCAGTTCATGCCTCAAGCTGGTTATAATTATCCATCAATGTCAGCAAATTACCAGCCATCGGTAAGTTTTGTACCGATGAGTTCCAATAATGGTTGGTCAGGACAGTTACCTGTTCAACATACAGTTCAGCAAAATTAGCAGGTTGTAGGGATTCAACAAGATCATATGCAAGCTGGTTTCCAGAATCAAGCATCAATGACTCGATTCGATGAATCCTTTCAAAGCAGGTTAATGGACCACAAGTAACGGCAAATATGCCGATTCTTTGGAGATCGTGAGCCACAAAGATATGTGGAAGGATATCAGCAGGTACCTCTGTAGAAATTTAGCGGTTAAATCGTCGCCAGGAGGCTGATGCTTTTGGGCCGATAAGATAGCGTAAATTATGAAGGATCAGTTTGGGATAAAGCCCAAGGTCAATACTTATTCTTATCAGACTCCATACCCTCCTGCATATGATTTAATTCCTCTCCCAAATCGGTACAAGGTACCAGATTTCACTAAATTCTCTGGGCAAGATGATACATCAACAATGGAGCACGTCAATCGCTTCATTATTCAATGTGGAGAGGCAGCTAGCGAGAGATGAATTAAGAGTTCGATTATTTTCATCATCTTTATGCGGATCGGCATTTACATGGTTCATTTCATTACCACCAAATTCTATTATTACTTGGGCTGATCTAGAAAAATAATTTCATAAGTATTTCTTTTTTGGAATCCATGAAAAGAAGCTTACCGATTTAGTAAAATTGAGACAACAGTAATGATGAATCGGTAGAAAGCTTTGTGCAAAGGCTACGAGATGTAAAAATAAGTGCTACTGACTGGTCTTTGGATGATCGGCTGACTTGCCGATCCGGCTTTCAAGGGTTATTGCCACATCTTAAAAGCAGATATGCTTCTCGGGAGTTTGAAAGCCTCGGTCATCTTGTGCAAAGGATCTCTCGATCAAGATACTACGGTTTTGAACCTAAAAAGAATTGGAGTAAAAAAGTATCATTTGTTGAAGAAGTAGGAGATTCGATTACGATGAAGAACCGGTTATCGGGCTTAGTTGAGTGAGTGGGTTAAGAATAAAAAGCCGATATCTTGTCCCTTTGGTCGAGAAGAGAGCGGAAAAGTTTACCTTTGATATCACCAAGGCCGACAAGATATTTGATCTTCTGCTTCAAGAGGGCCAAATTAAGCTGTCACCTAATCATGTGATCCCATCGGCAGAAGAGTTGAAGAAGATCTTGTACTGCAAATGGCACAATGCAACTTCACACAGTACAAATGAGTGCAAGGTGTTCAGGCAACAGTTACAATCGGCTATTGAATCTGGGAGAATTAAGTTTGGTACTTCCAAGGCCCAGAAACCGATGAAAATTGATCAACACCCTTTTCCAGCAAATATGTTGGAGGCCAAAGGGAAGACCAAGGTATTGACGTCAGAGGCTGCTGAGAAAAACGCATCAGTGGATCCCCAACATCGGATAACTACCGATGATGCAAAAAGTAAGGGTTTGCTGGGAGAAAGCAGTAGTTCCAAAAACCCTCCTCGACCTGGCATTGTGATTACCCATCGAAGACAGCAGGAGGGTTGGCGTCAGCGTAAGGACCGATATCGACAACAGCAAGAAGAGAGACGTCGGGAAGAATGGAATCGGCATAAAGATCATTGGAGGTGTCCGTTTTTCATCCATTGCTGGGAAGAAGGTATTAAATTGCCAACTGTTGAAAATTGCCCTGAGTGCAATGGTTATTATGGGGTCAATCGGTCAGAAAGGAGGTTTCAACCTGGCAATCAGGGTTTATTTATCAATGAGCCGATCAGAGGCAGAGCATCAGTGCATGATCGGCTGGGGGGCAGACTAGTGTACATGAGAGGCTTGGTAAATGCGCTGGATATTTTCTAAGGAATCAAGAGGAGCTTGAGGAGATGGCAAACGCAAGAGTTCCCGATGAAGAAATATTCTACAGGGACCCTAATATACGCCGTGTAGAATCAACTGGGATCTGTTATCAGCCGGTTTGGAAGACCAAGTTTCCTCGATGGTGCCGGAGGGTCCCGACAAAGACACGTAAAAGGAGGATGCAACGTGAGCATCAGGAAGATTTATACCGAGAGGAAAATTCCTCCAATAAGAGGTCCGGTCATCGGCAGTGGTGGGGTAAAACACAAAAATAAGGGTCCATCGGCGAGATGTTAATATGGTATTCATGTTGTCAATGGAGTTTTTGGCACTATCTCGATAATGAGGAAGAAGTTGTTCTCTCTCGATCAAGTAGCTCGATTGACACTAGATCCAATGATGGCTGTTTTTGAGAAACCTACCGATGACGAGAGACGACATCTTAAGGCTTTGTTTGTGAAAGGCGAGTTGATGGGCAACTGTATCTAAGATACTTATCGACGGAGGGCTGCGATTAATATTATGCCTTATGTGATGTATCGAAAACTTGGTAAGGGAGATCAAGACTTGACCAAAACCGATATGATGTGAAGGATTTTGAAGGCAATGTGTCACCGGCTAAAAGGGCGATATCGTTGAATTGACCATCGGCTGACAAAACATTGCGGCGTGACGTTCTTTGTTATTAATGGCAAGGGTGCATATAATCTGCTTCTAGGAGGGATTGGATTCATGCTAATTGTTGTGTTCCTTCTACAATGCATCAATGCCTCGTACATTGGATTGGGGATAAGATTGAGGTTGTCCTGGTGATTCTTCTTATATCATCGCATCGGCGTAATCGATACTTATGAGCGAACTAAATGCATATCGGGAGAAGTTTGGGAAAAAGAGTTCCTTAGAGTTCTTGATTATGAAATTCGCCGATCCAAGCAAATCGGTTACGAAGAAGAGTTTTAATGGATAGGTTTGCCGATGATGGAAAATTAGGTCAAGGGTTCACCTCGGCGAGATGATTTAGTAGAAGTAGATATTGGTGATGGCGGTAGGCCAAGACCTACTTTATTAGTGCTAAGTTATATTCCAAGTGTAAGCGACAAATAACTGATTTGTTAAAAGAATATAAAGATTGTTTTGCTTGGGATTATCTTTGAGATGCTGGATTAGACCGATCGATAGTTGAACATCGGTTACCTATCAAATCTGGATTTCAGCCACATCAGCTGACCCGGTACCGATGCAACCTAATACACTTCACGACATTAAGGCCGAAATAACTAAATTAATTGAGGCAAAGTTTATTCGGCAGTGTCGATATGCAGAGTGGATCTCTAATGTGGTTCCTGTTTATAAGAAAAATGGAAAACTTCGTGTTTGTATTGATTTCAGGAATCT